ATCACATTCCGAGTGAACACGAATGTGTACTTCTTGACCTTCAACAAACAATGACTTTGAAAGTAGTTATTTGTGCCAAGTTATTTTAAATCTTCCATTATTGAGCGGACACAACATGTACTCTTTTAACACTTAACCTTTAAGTTTGACTTGACCTTTGGGGTAGCAACCCAATTATTTGCTCTGCACATTGTCTCATAATGACGATCACTTGTGCAAGTTATTTTTATTCGAAAGTTATTGAGCGGCCATGAAATGTATACATTTCAACACTTGACCTTTAAGTTTGACATTGACCTTTGGGGTAGCAACACAATTATTTCGTTATATTTTCATACCATTGTTAAGTACAACAATCAATAAATGTTTGTTTAAAAAGTCTAAGAATACGATGTGCATTTCTTAGTATATTATGTGAACCAATCCTTATATAGAGCCAAAATACCAGTATATTATGAGGAATCATCCTTGCTGGGTTGGGTGGGGGTTGCGTTCATTGTTGATGTTTTCACTATAATAATAAATTTACATCCCTTTTAAATGTAGAACGATACCCATTAATAGAAATACCATATAAACATACAAGGCGTTTTGTAATTTTCATTGCTCCAATCACAAGAAAAGTACCAAAAAGGGCAAACATAACAATATCATAATGAAAGAATGTCTGTGAACAATTTGTAATGATAACATAGATTGTGTGTTCAATATGTAAAAAAATCAAGAATATACGTTATAATTATTCAGTTTACCGTAAAGGCGAAAATTACAAGAAGGGACATACAAGTGTCACCATAATAGAATTAATTATTAAGACAATTCTGTCCCAAAGGGTTTTAAGAAGTGTATATTATAGTTTCCAATTTGATACGTTAGATGTAATACAAATATCTACAATTAATTGCCACTCCATAACTTTTAAACCGCTGAAATTTTTTGACATTAGATGGCACAAATGTACGTACAAATGATCACCATTATAAGACAATGTGCAGATTGTTTTATTATCTACAAGTTTAGCAATTCACATAATGTAAAAGGAAAATTTAGGTTCACTTTCATCAGAAAATACATGTTTGTTGTACTTCATGTACTTTTATCGCGTTAACGTCATACAATAGTTTATTTTATTAATCATACCATTCTTTAAATGATATGCTAATATTTATCATAATATTTTGTGGTTTGGTTGATTTCCATAGTTTCCAGAAAGAAATTGCATCGTTCACTAAGTTATATCAATTTTTTAAGTTGGTATTCAAATTTCTTTTTATTACAGAATATTTTAAGATTTAAATAATCTCAAATCATTTTGCGTATTGTGTTGCGAAAATGACGAAATACGAACAGACGATGCGATTTCTTTTATATGACTTCCAGGAAAAGAAACATAATTTCACTGTTATACACCTGTTACTTTTCTTTTTAATTACTTGTATTTTTATGTTCTTTCATATTTGAAACACAATTGCTATTTTTTTCTTAATTATCTCAATACTTTCTCCTTTCATAATCATTGAATTGATATACTAAAAACACAATTTACAATACAAAACAAGAGAATAAAAAATACTTTATTTCGCTTTAGGGTTTCCTGCTTATGCATAAACATAATTATGTATTAAGAAACAAGTTACATATTTAAAATAATGTAATTGTTCGGATCACTGTCATGAGAAATTTATATGCCAATCACCATCATTCCAATAAATTGCATATATTTAGACAGAAAATTGACAGAACATTTAGCGTATAAAGTGATTAACCGGAAGATTGTGACAGCAATATCAATTGTTTAAATCTCTCGCATACTATTCATAAAAGGTTTGGAAACATACTATTTAGTTATGACAAAGAAAGTTTTTTTTTCATTAAACAGTAAAACATAATGATTTTATGTCAAAAATTAAAGAGGTAACTTTGTAAGAGGATGATTGTTGCTATAATTGATATTATTTTGACTTTATACATATTGTGATATTGACAAACTAATGCTAGCCTTACTTGTTAAATTATAGCTTTACTGGACGTAAAGATGACAATTCCCAATCCTTGAAAATCGTTAGCACGTCATTATTGTTGTGTGTTTTTTGTTGTTCTTTTTTTAAATATATCTATTTTGCAACTTGGGTGTTCCGCTTTTTATTCCTGAGTACTGTATAGTCACTCTTAGGATTTGTCGCTTGCTTTTTAAATTTGTCTTTTGACGTCTTGTCTTTGATATGCAAGCTTCATAACCTCAAATACCCTTTCAAAATTCCATTTTGTTTAGTTCCGCCCATTATGTTCTCGATAAGGGCAAACGCTTTCTTTTACATGGAACAGCTCGAAAGTGCCATATAGATGGTTCCATGATAACTGCCTTTACTCAACGGATGATTGTAACTTCAAACTTAAATAATTTTGATGTTTAAATGTTGATTTATGCTTAAGCCGGGATCGTGAACGGTAACATCCATGAACAGGCTCAATCAAACCGATTCTGCAACATTTTTAATGTTGTCCTTTTTCCGTTTTTTCCGTGATTCCGTTTTTTTCTACTTTACTTTCAAATTTCTCAATTTCTGATGGCTAGGGTGCAAAGTGAACGTATAGTATTTCATAGGTAAATTCTCAATTTCTGATGGCGAGGGTGCAAAGTGAACGTATAGTATTTCATAGCCAAATATATATATATAATATATATAAGCAATTATCAATGACTTTTGATTAAGTTACTAGACAGGTCCTTTTTAACATATGGAGAGCTTCATTGTTTTCTTATTCTAATATATAATGTTCTGATTTCTGAAAATAGATAGGCAGGCATTTGCCCTTTCATATTGTGCACTATCGAGATATGTTTTGGAGGAGGCGACAACGTATTTAATAGCCAACCAGAGTTTTAGGTACCCAGCCTATATGATACATGTTCTTTCGCGTCATCGTCGCCTGAAGCTGGAGAAAGGCACACGATTCCCATTCTCCCATTTGATGTGCCTTGGAGCTACGATATGTACTCGCAATTACAATAAACTGAATTTAATGAAGGGCGATTATTTTAATCGAATGTCTTATAAGCATTCTAATGCTTTCAATATTTTTGAAACCATTTTATATATTTTTCTGAGGGAAGCATTTGAACATGTGCTGCTAAAAGAAAACATTTCGTGCTATAGCTACAGTCATGTCGCTGTTGCCTTCCCAAACTTAAATGCCCTAATTAGTTTGTTTTTCAATGGCTTATATTTATACAAGGACACAACAGTCAAATGACAAAGACCAGGCTAAATCTGACCTTGATTCATAAATGACCTTCGTCAAATGTTTAATTTGGCTTGAAAATTGCTTTAACTGGCCATAACATTAATTATAAATTGACCAATCATTATACTTGAACAAATAAATGATTATACAAGACAAGCATTGATGCAAAGCATCAAAGGCGACGCCAAAACAATTTGATCAAGTTTTGCACCAAAATACTTAACAAAAGATGGGTACTTTATAGCAGTACCATTACATGTGACCTTGAGGCTAGGCCCAGTTTAAGTTGAAACTTAAACCAAAAAGAATACACTCTGTCTTGCCAAGATGCAAAGACAATTTATATTCGATTAACCAATCTTATACGACTCATGCCATAAGAGAGAATTTCTTCAGATTTATTTTACCAGATACAAGGATAAGTGAGTCATCAGCATATAATAAAAGCTTTTTGCTAAGGGTTGCAGACATGTCATTGACATATATTAGACATAAAAGAGGACCTAAAACGAACCTCAGGGGGACACCATAGGTTCTCGGAGAAGAAGTAAAATGAGTACCAGCCACATCCACCAGCTGCTGTCTATCAGAGATAAGACTTGAACCATGTAAGATTGTCATTACCTATGGCAGATGCTTGAAGTTTCATGGAGAAGAAGAAGAACATATTCATGTTCAGTATAGTGTGATCAACTGTATCAAATGCCTTATGTAGATCTAAAAGTATCATGCAATACTGCCTTTGTTCATTTCAAATTTAATACAATCTGTTTAATGAATCAAACATGTGTCAGTTGAAAAAACACTTCTCAACCCTGACTGAAACTGCCTGACCATGACTCGAACCCATGACTGTCAAAAGACCAACTGAGCTATCCGGTCGGCTACACATTTTCTCTTTAATAATGGAACAGTTCTAAACCACAACATTTTCCCCCACTATATTGATTTGGAGCTTGAATTTCTTATGTTTACAGGGCATAGTGAATTAAACTCAGGGTTATATGCAGTCACAGGATGAGAAAAACTGTCAGCTTGACCAGAACTTGAACCTGTGACCCACAGAATAATGCACCGCGGCTGTAGCGATTGAGCTATCTTGCCGCTTACACATTTTCTCCCCTAAATAGTGAACAGTTCTAAACCGTGACAGATACTTTTAGACTTTTAAATTAACTGGTAGATCAATTCTTAATTAAACAAATAAGAAATACTCATAGTCTTAATCAAAATAATTTATATAATATTGTATAATTAATTTTACTAAAAAGGGCTTAGACAGTTATTGGGTTTGCCATTAATTATAACAGGTCAATTTGAATGTGAACATAACTGTACTAATACATGTACAAAATCTCCGTTTCTGTACAGATAAAAAACTAATCTGTTTTCTATGATAAGGAATTTAATTTAGGCTGATTTGTATTTTGCAAAAAGGGCACCTGACGAAAACATGAAAATGCAACAAACGAACCACTTTGTGGTAGATTGTATTTTTATGTTTTCATCTGCCGCCCGGTTACTTTTAAATTTGTACTTTGTTGGTTTTCATGTGGCACAAATCACCCACTATAAAATTTAGTGCACACATTTATTCAAGGGCAAGTAAAAATTTGTTGTCGGGTTGATTGCAGACCTGGAGGTTGAGACCGGTGTCCCTGTATTACAAATAGATAAGACAGAAGCTGACCTTTTCAAACTATGCACATGTTAGAAAAAAATTAGAATAACTATTCAGATTATGATTTTTAAGACTTTATTAATCATATTGCTTGATCCAAGTTTAAGGACATTTTCATTCAATACATGTATTATCATATATAACTTTAAATGAAAGTCTAATCCCTTTTAATAATAATGACATAACTGTAACTCTTTAACTACAGAAATATTATAAGTCTCATCATATCAATATACTAAGATATACATGTATGCACAAAACATTAATAATTCCCAGTGTCTATTAAATAAATATGAAATCCTAACATTAACATTAACATTGGTACTAATGGATGGAATTCAAAATCTAGTAGAAAGAAAACTATTATAATTTATAAACTTTATTATACTATGCGTGGCTTTTTTTCACAGGTTGGGGAATCAGCCCAGCCTTAATTTTGTGGAAAAATTATACGGTATATTTGCAAAAGGGGAAGAAAAAATTTGATGTAAAAACTGCATGATTTAAAAGAAATTTTCTTTATACCGGCCCCTGTTATAGAAGGAAAAAAGGCCTATAAGCCAGCTAACACTGGGTATAAAAAACTATAACTTGAAGACTAATCGATACATGTATTATCATTTATAAATTTAAATGCATATCTCATTCATTCACAACTGTAAGTCTTTAAATACAGAAATGCACATTTTATCAATATACTAACTTAAAGATACACATGTATGCACATAACATCATTTTTACCAAAGGTTATTTTATTAACAATTTATATAAACACATAGACAATATTTATTAGTTTCACATGGTGATTAGAAGATTCATGTAGCAGAATACCTGTAGGTATGTTATTGTACTAACTGAACAAACTAGAAAAACCAAGTCTAAGGTATATAAAGCCAGTAAAAAAATCTATCAATATCCACTCCTCAGGGCCTCTATGCTTTAAATAACCTTACAACTGGTAAATTTTATACAACAAAAATAGTAAGTAACAGAAAAGAACAAATAATTAGTAAACATATTTGTTTAGTAAAAATATATAGATGAATTAAAAAGAATACGGCATCAATGTAGACCACATAATATTCGAAATCCGGGTTTTAGTATTGCCAATAAAGCTAAGGGACAAGCTGTTCAACTGAGCCTGCAATTTCATGAAAATAATATCACAATGCACATGCTTTTTACATAAAGTTATTAAATACAAATATAACAACATATTTGTTGACTTGTAAAATAACAGCTATTTCCATAGGCCAAAATAAAAAGCAACAATACATTCAAGAAAACCAAACATAAGATGACATTGACTCAAACAATTGAAGTTTGCTTACAATGTCATGACTAAGATATTTATTAATACTCAATAGACAAAGATATAGGACAACTAAAACACTTTTACATATTTAAGTTAATTCGGTTTAAGAACCATGCTAACTAGCTTTCATCTGATACTTCGTTACATGCTGTTATCACTGCTGTCATTGTTTTCTGTAAGGTCTGATGGACTGGATCATTTAATTCCCCACAGTCTTCAAGGAGTGATCTTCATGCCCCTGAAGAAGGTCTTGCAAATATTCATATTTCGTTGGCTCCTTAAGGGTATATCATGTCCAGCTATTGCCTGTTTAAAATAGAGAAAATAAAAAATCCCTATAGAAAGCCCAACACTATACAATTGAAAAAGTGTAAATAATAGACATATTTGACAACGGATTGTATCCATATTTTTCAACAAAAAATGCCATGTCATATTATTTAAAAGAATATGAGCAACGTTATATTGATAAGTCTTTTAATTCAGATATTGTTGGTTCAAGCCCTTCTGGTATCATTACCATATTATTGACATGACGCAAGGAAGTATTCCACAAATTTTCTGAAAACTTTCAAGCTTTCAACATATCAGAGATAATGATCTTAAGTTCGAAATTCTAATAACATACAGAATAACTTTCTTGATTAGGAGCTCTGGTCGGTTTTGTTGTATTTTATAGTCAATACAAAATCTTTAAACAACCAGTTCATTTCATGCCTTGTAGACGGGTTATCTTTCTTGAGGGAAAAAGCAAGGTTTACATGAGACAAAATGTTATCAATATTGATAAAATTTGTTATTAGACATAAATTTTATAAACATGTATTTCAGTGAGATATTGTGCTTGTGTTTATTATCACTATAGAATTAGAAAAAATACGACTCCAGTGTTGAATTAATAAAAAGAGTGCCTGGATAAAAAAATCTCAAAATTTGATTAGAAGAATCATATTGTATCTGATATTATAAATGATCAATAAACAAAGCTTCTTTGCACATAAAACATATCAGTGAGTTTAAAAGAACAAGTATGGGTAAAAAGTTATCTTACGTGTAAGCATACTTCTTCGCAGCATACATATAAACGTTTTCTTGACCACAATATGTCTTAAAATGAAAGGTATTATTTAGGATTGCAGTTTTATCACATATGACAGTAACATGAAACAGATTTATTCGCATCACTTATTCACGAATAGTTTTATTTGATCTGTATTATTGGCTTATTGATTTGTTATATTTTGCAATTTACTTGGCATTATCACAATAGGGAATGTTGCGCATAAAACATGTGTGCAGGAAAAATCTTAGCCAAATAATGTTTACCAGACATCAAGCTTCCACATATGGTCTCTCCAGTATTTCTTCAACAGGTCCATGTTTACATCTTCCAAGTTGTTTACAACTAAAAGCATTTAACTAGACCCGCAGAGTAACCCCAGTTACTGGTCTTTTTTCTTAACTGAGAAAAGGGCGCTATAACTGTACAGGAAACAATGAAGATCAATGGGTCTTGTATGCATCAATTTCCCTCATTGAGATGAATTTTATAATTATGACCTTTCATATTCATACTGTTAATGCTTTTGAGATATAAATTAATAGCCTGGTCAACATATTTTTACTCAAAGAGAGACAAACTCAAGGATTAGACTTTTAAGCTAAAATAAGAGTAAATATTAAGGTTTGAAATTGTACAACGGATACCCTTTATAGAAAAATAAGAGGTTGTTCATTCTTGCATAGCTGCTTGAGTTGATCTTTTATATTTAATTTTAAAAATTCAAAAGCACCTACAAATAATTATAAGAAACAACTCTCTGTGATAGGAATTTATTTTGCTGTCATAAAGAGACTATTACCTCCCCCTAAAGATTCCTACATCAAATTAATGGGTTACATCTGGAAAGTCTGTATCTACAAATTGTGAAAATATTTGAATGATTATTTTGTTTATGAAGCAAACATCTCTTGTTTTCTTCCAGTTACTATACAGGCTTCTTCAATTAATTTAATATAAAGGGAAATATAATGCATTTCTGTCTGAGAAACAGTTACAGTTGAATGCACAACTGTCGTCTAAAGTCAGTGGTCTAAAGCATTCTAAGTCAAATTCCAGTGAAAGAAATAAGTTTTTATCATATGTACTATAATATGTAAATACTTATAGATTAGCATTTTTGCCATTCGAATGAGAATCAAATTAAATTACTTTGTATGTTGTCAGTAATGGTCATACTTACTGATATGTACTAGCATCTGTCCATATCTCATCAATCACAAGACCATCTTTTGTAAAGCTCTTTCTTTTTAATATTCATGTTGGTGGATTCATCTGCGTTTACGCTTGTTTACTGTATTGAACTGTGTTCAAGAAGAGTCAATTTGGCTCAATAAACACTTTATTATATTTCTAGCATTAGAGCTACAATTAAAATAATAACAATTTAAATCAGGTTAAAAACTATGTTATTGACAAAAAAGAGCATAAGCTAATGATAATGAATATAAAAAGAAACTAAATAACTTTGTTTTCATTATTAAAAAAAAACGATTTATTTGTTCTGTTCGATAATATGTTCTGTTCGACAAGCCATATCCAAATTATTGTCATCACGCTTTACGTTGCTGCAACAATCCGGTCACAGATTTACTTATCACTTATGTTTTTTACGTGTATACTGGCCAACCTAATCAAGTATTTTAAACATAAAATGACTTTGGCCTCACTGACAACATATTTAGTAGGAGCAGCTGTTGCCTGTGGTACTGATTCAGAACATTCATTTGACAGTAAGTCCTCAAGTTATTGGCCATAATGCCTAACATGAAAACAGTAATTATAAAACGTTAAGTATTTTCAGGGATGGTAATTGGTTCTAACCAACTTAAATAAAAATACTTTTTCCATTATAAAAGAGAAAAATGAAATAAGAACGAATTTTAATGCACAGTATGACTTCTTTACGAAAGTCCGAACGTAGCAGTTTGAGTAAAAAGAGAATGATCATAGCCAAAACTTAGACATGTTAGTAATATATTATTGTAATTGTTATAAATATGCATAGGTAAAACTTTTTCAATTTACAATTGATAACATGGTTCATCATACAACATATACAAGACGCATGATTTGATAAATAGATAAATAGCCATGAAAAATGATATCATATATCAAGGATAACACAAAGTCAAAGAGTTAAAACATATAAGCCGTTTTGATTTATTTATAATTGATTACCAAATTTATTCAAAGCAAAGCCTTACTTGATCAAGGAACCTTCAGTTTCTTTTGCCAGTTGAAGGTACGTCTCAAATATTTTTTTTTCCAGCGGTAGGTAACTTTTACTGGACTTGTCTGAAGAGCCCATTTCCAGTGATTGCCTACCCCCACTTCCAGATGAATTACTGGTTACATATTAACAAAAAGTCACAACTTGAGTAAAAAAGTGAGTAAATAAATATATGTATATAACCTTGAACCTGCTGCATTTTTAAGTTGGTCGTATCGTGATACCAGTTTTAGATCTTTATATGCACATTATTAAACTTATCAAGGTAAGTCATTCTACACAAAGAGCCTGGTCAGACTGTAACAGTGTGCAGGCGTGCCTGTCTCGATACAGATAGCAAAGTCAAAATTAGCTTCTGCAACCCAATTAAGCTACAAAAGATTTTTATATAAATTATCTTATACTTTTATCTTAGATATAATCGAGCTTTATAGTACAAATTCACTTAGCACTGAAAATTTCACTGTCAATTTATCACATTATCACTGATGGAGATATTAGATCTCAATTGGTCAAACGAGCAATACAAGAAATTGATACCGATCAATTTCAGAAATATATAAGACAGGCATGCCAATTGCCTGGACAACTCCTTGTTGTAAATGTATGTATGGATGTAAAAGATCATCTTGCTTGGAATGGAGTGTTATATCACTGGCTTGGGTACATCGGACTACGATGAACTTTGCTCTGCCCATTTAAGCTAAAAATAATCATAAATTTAAAAATACAAAACAAAAAGTATGTTATTACTGTGTTTACTGCTTACACATTTTATACTCTGTATCGACAAGCCCTTTATGTGACTATAGGAGGTAAACATACACACGGCTGCTGTTGTAAATACTACATTTTATTATATAATAGAAAATGAGGAAATACACACATCTTGACCACGTTAATTACTGATCAAATAACAACATTGCAAGTCTATTTCCAGGTTGCAATTATCCATTTATAATGTTCATTGTGTTTTTAAATAGTGTAAAGCAGTTTTTATTTGTTTGGGTAGTCAGACCAAACAGATAATGGTAGCGAAATTTCAGAGCCAGATGTTCTAATTTGCAAATGCCGAAAGTAGTCCAAACTCCTCGAAGCGGTTACTTCCCTTCATATGTACATTAACGCCGAAAAATTCAGTAGAGATCACTGCGTAAAGATAACTGACAGGCGCAATAATTTTCGTAACGAAAAAATAGTTCCCGATTGGTCGAAGATTTCTAATATTGTGTAATTTTTATAGATATATATGCTTATATTCAGCTCCATGTTTATTTACCTCAGTGTTAAACAACAGGTTTACCGTGAACAAAATATATCGAAATTAATAAGGGTTATTAACTCTAATTTAGAATAATATGGTATTCTTCAGGCTGTTATCTTATAGCTCCACGTGGTCGAGGGGTTTACACGTTGGCTTTGGAAGCGAGAGGACTGGAGTTCAAATCCCAGTTTAGGCAACGCGTTTTTTTAAAGCCAAATAAACATTGAATTGAATATCAGTGCAGTGTTGCAATTAGTCTTACTATAGTTAAAACACTGGAAACAGCATTGGTGACGCTATACAAACAAAGTGGTTTATAATCTCACAACCTTCACCTTTCTGACATTCTGAGACCCAAACAAATTCAGCGCCTTCTGTGCTTTGATTAAACTACTGTTGTACCTTACACACTTGATTTTTCTACTGATAAATAATTACGGATTACAATATATGATAAAAGTAAAAAAAAGAAACGACTCATGATAAAGGCTTTAAATTATCTTTTTACTGTAAGGTTACATTTGTTTCGAGACTTGTCTTGTTATCTTGTTAATTTAAAGAGTGAAGTAAAGAAGGGCAATTTGTAGGAAAATCTTGACTATGGTGCCATAAATGTAAGAAAAATATACTGAAAGTTTCTCAGTTTTTGAAAAGAGATGTTGAAGATTTTTTTGTTTGTTTTTTTTTCTCAAAAAGATCTGTCAACTTTCACTGTAATTAATATCACATCAACAAGGTGGAGCTTGCATCTTACATAAAAATATGACAAGATAGGCATGACATATAGTAGTATGTACAAAACAGGTTTAATGATCAATTCTTTTTGTGGTTATCTTTATAAAATGGTATTGACAAAGTATTTTAAAATCATACTTAAATTTTATTTTTTTTAATGAAATGCCTACATGGTAACATACCTATACGGTTTGTGTAAGGTATATAAACTTGATGTGTGATTCGTCAGAAAATTATGATTATGGTCAGACAAAAGAGAGCCAGCTTTATCTGAAAAGTACAGAAAAATCTGATTCAAAATACTAATAACAAGAATAAGTTTGAAACTTTCTGACAAGGGAAGCTGGCATTACATTTTAAGTTTTGTACACTTGTCTATCAACATAGCTCGACAGATACTGCTTTCGAAATCTATTAGTAATATTTTTGTAAAAAGAATCTTATGATGAAATTTTCTAATACAAATAAGTTTGAGAAAATGAAATTGGTCTTCGTTTAAACATTAAAGTAGGGGTTAATAGTAAACTTTGAAATATGAAGGCCAAATATTTATCTATTAATTAGTAAAAGTTTCAATTTCATTAGTGTAAGTAAAACTTTTTTCAACAAAAGTATGATAATATTATACATTTACTATATGAACAAGTAGTTAAAGAACTGATGAAAAGAAAGAACAATACTTTTTTGAAAACCAAATGCAAACTAATTCAGGTTAAGTCTAGGGTTAAAGCTAAGACAATTTTCTGTAAAAACAGAGTGAGCTCTATTGCAGTAAATTCGAGTCTCGGCATGCACTCTATCCCCTCAAGCAGATGATCATCATATTAATGATGATACTTTTTATATAGATTTCCCCTTCAGTAAAAACGCTGAAAGATATTGCAGATGCTGCAAGTTTTCTGTCTACTTTGTAGTCAAAAAATTATATCATGTCATTAACAAATCTTGATAATGTAAATAACATTGTATAGGTGATGATCCTCGGATTCTTTCCAGGATAAAATGGTCTTATCTAAAAGTAACCATATTTAATTATTTATTTAACTTTTACAAGACCTCCAACATAAAACGATGATACAATGTAGTGGGTATTGATAGAATTTGTCTTTTTATTACATTGTAATCTATTTTAATAATTTAACAAAATTGTTTAATTTTAGCTAAATACTCTGATGTATATAACTGTACTTTTAATTATTTTTAAAGTTTAAGTTTAATAATAATTGACTTTTGCAATTTGTTCTAATAAAAGAATTCATGCATTAGTACACTTGTTTCTTACATGTATAAGTATTTCTTATGCAAACTATGTAAGATATGTCAACATGTGTTTATACTCGTCAACAATACTTCTTGGGTAACTGTAACTTGTAACTTGTAACACTTTACACCACACAGTACCTGAATTGACTATGAATTGTAAGTATACAATTATATATATGTTGAATAAAATATATGTTATGTTATGTTATAACACTATTTGTCAGTAAATCACCTATTTCGTTGACTACTAAGAAATTTGTAGCAATTTTAAATTTACATAAACTCTGGGCACTGGGAATGTTATGGCTACCGCCACTCATGAATTATTTATTTCCATACCACTCGATAAATATAAATCCTATATTTATAGAAAAAACTTGACTACCCTCTTATTACTTTGTCTTTAAATCTTGAAAGAAAATATTTTCGATCTGTATACTAATTCTGGCAAATTAATGATCTTTGGAAAACGTACATTTTACATATTTTGAACTAAAACAATAGTTGCTTTTTCATATTTGATAATGTTTCCGTGTATGTAGTTCAAATACATGATTACAAAGATCAAAAGTAAAGCATCAATAGGGATGATTGATACCTGGCTCTGATTTAAAACTAACAGTATTAGATCAGTCACAGGAATCCCCTGTTTAGTTTTCAAACTAAACATTTACCGATACTTTTTTTCCTTGTATAAAACAAACTGATTTATTGATGTTTCAGACTTATAATCAGACCTTAAACTGATAATTCGTGTGTAAGCTAAAAGGATCATGTTCATTGCCATTTTTATACGCCCAAAAGAATTTTGACGTATATTGTTATGCACCTGCTGTCCGTTCATTGGTCCGTACGTCCGTCTTTTAGCAAGTTTTCGTGTTTGGTCTGTATCTTTAGAATCAGTTGAATAAAATTAAAGCTACTTGGCAGAAATGATAACTTTTATGAGACGTTATATCCGCTCTGTATTCTTTTGATCAGTAGAAAGAAATTAAAACTTTTTCGGAAGAACTTTTTCTTATATTAGAATGATGTGTAAACATTCTCAGGTCAAGGTCACACTTAGTCATTTCCTATCAATATCAAAATTTTGAGTCCGCTTAGTTTCTTCTAAACCGATAGTAGGGAATTAAGTCTATTCGGCAGACAAATTAATATTATTGTGATGATGTGCAGAACGCAGTTTTTTGCCTACCTCGGGTCAAGATCAAGGCCATACTGACTCATTCAAAAACGTTTTATAAGTGCATATATTACAAAGGGAGATTACAATGTATTGATAAATAAATATGTTTTCTCATAATATATATGTTACCTCCCTTTATTTCCCAAAATTACTTCTTAATGTTTTTTATCAAACTTTATATTTTTAGACTTTTGTCTGTTTAAATAATACTGATTTGGGATATTAATATGTTATTTAAAGAAGAACCCTGCATTTGCTTAAAAATTAATTCACAGATATAAAAAAAAATGCTGTGCCCCTTATAGGGGAGTGTTGTGTAGGTTTACCTGTATCCAAATTTATATAGTATACATGTTTTAAAAGTTTTTCCTCATATCTATAACATGTAGAACATAGAATTGAAGCATGTGCATGTGTATCAACACTTCTTAAAAAGTAGAATCATCAATTATTTGCTTAAATAATGACCTTAAGAATGATGTCGGTGCAAGAATTAATGTTATTAATGTAAAAGGTAGTAATCAAAAAGAAAAACATAATTTGTAAGAATAGCATTTTGATTAGTTTCTGGTCTTATCGTTTGCTCTTTTAAATTTCTGGTATGGTTATTTTTGTTTTAATTTTTATCATTGTTGTTTTCAGTCAGTATATATACCAGATGACAATTGCATGGAGGTAAATAATCACTACTCTGTGCTTCGCAAATAACTTTTTTAAAGGCATGACTGGTGACATGTTTGGGGTCTGTTCTACACAGCGAAAGCAGTTGCATATTTAATAATCACTAAGTATTCATGTGACAAGAGGGAAGCTCTTTGGCATGTATCAATATAGATCTTAATTTAGATAATTGAAATAAAACATGTTGCTGACAAATGTTATAAATGAGTTTCCTCTCTGATTGAAAATTATTTTTGATTACTTTCTTTTTTCCCTTAGAACACATTTAATTTGGGCGTATATTTCCGCACCTATGTGCTGCTATTGTTATTATATTTTCTCCCTGAAAGCGAAAAAAACATATTAATTGTTTTCATATAACTTTATTAAACGGTTAACACAGATTAAGGTGATCTATTAAAATTAATAATAATTTATAGACACAAATATAAGAAAAAGAAAGCGCGCCTACGACAATGTCTCTATAATGTCCCAAAGAACCCCAGTTGTTACTTCAAAATTTAAACCCACTTTGGCAAGCAATGGCAAGGAAACTTTAATGTCGTGTCACATTTTATAAAGTAGTACTTAGTACATGTAGTATACCCTTCGAATTTTACCTGTAACTTTCTTTTTTATTTTCTAAGCAGATTTATATTTTATCCTTGTCACTGTCTGGTATCAACTGTTGGTCAGTCAACATTGTAATCGTTTGAAATATGTAGTCAATTTGGCTAAACTTTACAATAAAAAATTAGCATAATGTCATTTTAACAAATATAAATACGAAAGACACTTACCAACTGTCAAGTAAAACATGTGCAATGACGTCATTTGAACTCGCCGAATTCACAGAGGATTTTACATTATCCTTCGCCTTAGAGATCCTGATTTCTTACGTCACCGCACTTTATGGCTGCCTTAAATACTTACACCTTGCAGCTTGTTTATTATATCCAGTTTTTTCTTTTTCAATCGGAAAATGTGTTCAACGCGCTTTGTTGTACGTACGCGTAATGCGCACGCGCCACATAGTTGTTATCAATTATATTTTAAGGTTTAGGTTTTTGGAAACCCGATGGTGAAGTTAATACATGTATTTAACAAAGTATAAAATCGCACAAATTGCACTTGTCGTAATTTTTATTATTCCATGGATGAATTGTGTCATTTCTAAATGTATTATTAAAAAAGGAAATATGTTTTTGTATTCTCTCTTGTCTTTTATTTATAAAATGACACTTTAAACATATTTCGTTATTTACAATTTTAATGTTTTATTTATATTTATTATGACATATTTTTATATGGGCTGAATTCATCAGCATGATTTTTTCAACATTAGTAAGCTATTTACGAAAATGACAAATTGAAATATCCGAGTTTTCGTTTAAAGTATTTTCACAGAAATTGTCTTAATTATTTAATCATACTTAAGAATGTAATCGAATGTGCATTCGCGTCGTTTAAGCCATTACTTGATATAGACTTCTTTTTACGTCTTTCCACCCCTTTTGAGGACGGGAGGGAGATGTTGTAAGAAAAATGATCACTTTTTCAGCGCCGTCCCCTATCAAAAAAATACATTAGAGGAGGGGTGCCACAGAGGGATGTGCCTCCTTCTGCTAAGGGGTCTGAGGGGGACAAGAGCCCCCCGTCATCGCCAAGAAGATTTTGGACTTATGAGAGGCTAAAATTGGACTTAGATCGATCTTAAGGTAACGAATAACCAACGCTGAAAAACCTCTGACTCTATAATTATAAATCCACTGAGAAGTTGCAACACTTAGAAATCAGTGGAAAAAATCAACACAAAAAAGTAATTTTTAGCAATTGTGAGATGTCCAATCGTTGTCATATTAACTGAGCATGCAGTTACAAAGGCTATGGTCCAGTCAACATTTGTTCTAATTTTATTTAATATTGATGCATTTGTTTATAGATTCATAGAAATTTAAACTTGTAACTGGAGGATTTTGAATGTAAAAAGCCATTTTCATTTTGTCATGCAATAATGGGTTAAACAGAACAATAAATGATTAATTTTATGATTTTGCGATTCTATAATACACAAATAGTTTGTTCATGGTAAGAATATGATATACACTTTGAAACTATTTACAGACATTTTGTATTTGATACGGATAGAAATTTACAGAAGAGGAAACACACTTGAAAAATGTTCCGAATAATAAGTACCAGAACGCTATAAATGTCTCAAAAAAGTAATATAATATGTAGTACACGTATTTAGACATTTGTATACTAGAACTCAGTTTGATTATGCAACAATTCCTTTAAATTACTTTGAAATAGCGCAGACCATTTTTGCGAGCCTTGTTTCGTCAAAGAAGCTATTTGATTGTTGGTATAGCAGCTCAAGGTTGTTTTGCAAAGCTGATCTTGAAAATCCGTACAACAGTTTATCCTCTCTAGACCAAGTAAAGAAATCAGCAAGGCGATTCCATAGAGTAGTCGCATCCCTCATTGCTGTCGGAGTTTTCATCTTTATTCCCGCATCATCACCATACTCGAACTGATCAAATGCAACACGAAACTCTTTGAGGTTATCATCTGTGAGTGTCAAAATGTCCTTATTCTCTTTAAGCGTTTCATCATCGATATTAAATTGTTTCTGATATGTGGTTATTTCATCTTGAAATATTCGCTTCTGTTCATTTTTGTTTGAGGTTGTTGTAATTTTGATTGCAACGGAATGTATTCTGTTTGTGAGTACTCTTTTCTTATCATCAATTATTTCTCTTGTTACTGCAGAAAGGGATAATGCTAAGGCGTCCCTCTTCAAGCTTTTACATGAAAAAAGCATTTCATTGTTCAAGCTACCGAAGTCATATTTATCCGTTTCGATGTTACTAATAAGGAACACCTCTGGGTTGGCTTCCGATACTTTTTTAAGTGCCTCTTTCGTATCCGTTTTCATAGATTGGAGAAAGCTTGCAACATCCTGATCAGGATAATCTCTTTTGTTATTGGTGATGTCCGTATCAATGTTGGAACGGACAAAGAAAAATCGTTTCTTTTGCTTTGTTACTTCCCCTGCAAGCCAGAAGTCATCTTCCGTAAATCTGTCCTTGCTAATGATGACAAAGAAATCGTATTTATCATACTGAACATCCTCTAAATAACTTTTCTTAGGGAAAAAACCTGTTCCAACTCCTGGAAGGTCCCAAACAATAAAGCTCTTGTTTTCTGGATGCTCGTATGGCGTGCATTCCTTTGTGGTTTCTCCCCTAGCACCAACTTCAGCGGCACCGGGTTGTGATGGCCTTACGTGTCTCAGAGAATTTATAAAAGATGACTTCCCGGATCCAGAACTCCCAGTGACAGCAACATTTAAATTGATATTAGTCCAGCTGTCCAGTTCTTTGTCAAGAAATTTTTTCACAGCTTTCAATCCGTTCTTCTTAAATTCGTTTTTCAACATTTCATTTGTTTGCTCTTCTTCTTGGTTGGTAAACAAAGACTTTGGATTATACCTTAAGACAAAAATAAAAATTAACCGGGTTGGGAACAGAGACGTTATTATTGAACTCATTTGACTTGATAATACTGGTTGATAATATAAATCCAAACAACATTTTTTTATGATAAAATTACAACTTTAGGGCTTTAACACAGTGTCTCCGTTATATTGTTTCGTATTGGATCCGAAATATATGACAATTATTATGTCATAAGCATTTGCAAGTTTTCACATATTGTTTCCCCATCTCAATTTGTTTCCTTTTAATTTTTCGAAGTACCTTTAAATCGGATCTGAAATTCTTGGATGGTATTATAATCGAAAGTATACAGAAGGAAGCTTGTTTATTCAAAAACAAAGCTGTAACTGAGATAGGAGCACCATTTAACCACATTACCTAGGGAATGAACCTACAAAATTTGTGTATAAATATGGACTTCTAATGGTTTTTGAAAATATTGATCTATAATATATATTACTACATTACATGTACGCAAACGAACACAATGACATGTCATTCGCTATGTCTCTATAAAAGCATAAACATACTACAAATAGATATCTGATACAGATTTCTGCAATGGAACTAATTCCAAAATGTGTACAGCTTGATTGGGTTTTTCAAGGTAAGTTCATATTTCCTAAAGTCAATGAAAAGTTAACATTAAAGGCCTATAAGTTTAATTATAAGACACACTAAAAGACTTACCTTTCCCAAAATCTGTTTAATCTATAAAAATATATAGATTGTAGAATTGGTTTTAAAGTATTGTCGTCACATTTTCAATCATATAACAGAGTTTATTATATAATATAATATTAAGTTTGTTTCTTTTGTATTGTTCATAATAATGCATGCTTACTAACCCTTGTATTTGATAAACAAAAACCAATAACAAAAGGCAATCTGCGCCTTGAACGACAAAAAAGCACCTTATTAACATGAATATCTCTATTAAAGCATAGGCTGAACAAAACAGTTTACAATTTTCATAAAGAATGGAAACTAAATGATCATAAAATTTAAAACAAAACCTATCTAACCAAAAAAAAAACAAAAAAAAAACAAACAAAAAAAACACTTAAAAATAAACAACAAAAAGCATACAAAAAAAACCACAAACACACTACCTCTCTCTCCTACTAAAAGTCTTGTCACAGGTGATTAATAAAACTGAATGTTACTCTAATGGTACTACATGTATATATGTAATATTCTTTAAAAATGTAGTATTTAGTATGTTGGTCAGACCATGCAAGCTGTTGCGCGTTGTTTATCGAAATCAATATTATGTTCAAGTTCCAAGCTTCTCAAGTAGCAAGCAACGCATTTTAATTCAAGCGATAATTCTATACATTTTTATCCTTGATGCCTATTGATGTTGTAAAAGATATCATAAACAGAATATGTTGTGCACGGAACGTTATTTTATTCATAAGTTTAAAACATTTTATCAAGATGGACTGAAACTTTCGATGCACCACACATTATATCTAAATTCTAGGCCTTTGAAATTATGAATACTTGATTTTCCTTCCAAGTAATATAATTTAAAATCATGAAATGAAATAAGCACGTATATTGATTGACTGATGAGGATAGTATCAAAATGTTTTATATGCAACAAGGTAAAAATATGTACAATAAGCCAGGGACAGGTTTTAAAGTAATAATTTAAATTTTACAATGATAAATTATAAATAAACAAACGCTCATTTATAACATGAGTGATTTATTTGAGTAATTATTCTCTTAGAATGAACATTTCATTACATGTATATAATGCGCAAAATAGGTTTATTGTTGCAAAATCAATGCCACTGCATAGTGAGTATAATTAATGGATGCAGAAACACTGTTTTAATTATAAGAATAAGAAATACTAAAACCCAGTATAAAATATGATGCATGGCAATAAGCCAATTTTTCAAATTAAAAGGTGTATGTGCAAATTTGTTCATGTATATAAAGAGAAATTATGTTTTAAAAATATATAGATATATGCTCTTTACAGATCTTTATATGTTGAAATGAACTAATTACTTTAAAGCTTACCTTTCCCAAACCGACACCATATTGAATCTCTGAAAGAAATAACTGATAAGATATATTTTGCCATATGTATTGATACACATTTGAAACACAGGTCAAAACGTGCAAATATAAACAAACGCCAAGACCATAACTTGTGAGATATGTGTTAATGCGATATATTTTTGTGGGATTTCAATATACATATAACTAATGGTAATTTCGTGAGCACAGCATTCGAACACTGGCAAAACTTTTATTATGTATCGATATTTTAAAATATTTACGCGTTGCCTTGTTTTTGATATTTCTTTTTCTAACACAGCAAACTCAAACGGTAGTGAAGATTGTATCAATCTTGCTGTTGCAAATATTTTCTTGTGGCTGTTATTATTTAAATCTGATCAACATTCTATGAATAGTTTTGCCAGCGATTCATTTTAAAGTGAAAATGCAAATTACATGGGATCATATTTTTAAAATTATAAAGTATCTTATTTTCCTTTAGATATGTGAAAAATACCAATCAAATTGAATGAAGAAAATAAGTAATGAGTATTGAATGCTTTCAATTTATATTACTGAACATATGCTAGGACAAATGTTTTAACGCAAATAAAATTGCATAACTGCAGCATAATGTAAATTAAGTAAATTAACTTTGCAAATATCAAATAATCATTTAAATTTGGAAAAAAATAAACACTTACCTGACACATAAATGCAATCAGTCTCTAACCGATCCAAGATATAAACACAAGATGCTCTGGGTAGATAATGACAAACCAAGCGTTTTTAAATCACTTATTATGTTTCAAAGGAACAGGGGCGGTCCAAAAGTCCTGTAACAATATAACAACGGCCGTCTTTTGAAATAAATCAAATAATTCGATCTATCCACTAACATGATTTTTAGACAGATTTATTAATCATTCTTTGTAACAAATGGAATCGACATTTACTAAACATTTAGCTGGCTGAAAAAGGATATTTACAAGTGATTAAAGGAGCAACAATAATAAAATGGAAGTACAGTACGTGTAATTCTATTTTACATGATTGTCCTTTAATTTAAATTGTCACAAATAATTCTTTAAATTAGATGTCAAATAAAAACAAATAATTTTCAAGCCTAAGGGCGAAAACACAAATGTAAAGTTTGTATAATTAAAGATACAATTGCTTTCAAATAGTCACCAACGTCAGTAATTACCGTAAAGTTAGAGGAGAATTACATGAACCTCAATATAAAACCAGTGAGCAAATAATAGACCCAGCTCGCACGATCGCTTTATATCATAAATATACCAGAGGAATCAATGAATTATATATTAGTTGCAACATATATACAATTACAATAAATAATGATAACAATGTATATATATTTCATTGATATAAAGGCGATATTTTCTAGTGATGGCAGAGTTCGGTTAGCCTCATTTTAGTCTTTTTTTTCAGTTTACTCCTAACCGTTTTTAAATTGCCGGACCAATATACAATCTTTGCAATGTTTCAACACATTATTTCACTAAAGGTTAGCAGAAATTTCCTCTAGTGTTTGTTTACAACACTTGATTCGTCTTTCAAATAGCTAACGATATTTGGTTTTGCAAATTATATTAAAATGACATGATAACTCAAAGAAAAACATATCATATCTAACCTATAGTAGGCGGTCTCTCAATACACGCTCTCATTTTCGAATTTTAATAAGACCTGCTCTTAAACTGTTTAACATTTTTTGTTGTTGTTGATTTATGATATTCCACTTGATTTATTCTACTTGAACATTATTCTGTAAATGCTGAGATAAAACATATGATTCCTTTAAGCCGTCTTAGTTGGCAATTTGAAGATATTTTATAAACTTGTTTATTTATCTACCCTTATAATAGACGATGTAGTTTCTACCGAATAAAATGCTCGATACATATTACATGAATATCTTAAGGGCACGGTCAGGGAGTCAAAAAATGTAACAAAGGTTAGCACTCACTGAAAAAAGTAACAGTGAACACAGAATATTCAAATATTCATTCAAAATATTCACTTTTCATTTCATCAATTTAAGTCTGAAAAGCATTTGTATTGAATTTCTATGAAATATATGTATGTGAATTACATAACCATCCGAGTAACCAGTTCTCAAGCAATGTAACAGAACTCGTGCTTGAATATTGTATTTGATTAACAAAAATGCGATATCTACCTTATATTTGTAAGACTGATCACAACACAGTCTTTGCTGTATTCATTCTTGTTCATAGCAGGCTTTGTTGACCGGGTTTTAACAATTTATAAAAAATGTACAAATAACACCACTGTAGAAGCAGAATCAATGAAAACTGTTTTCACGTTCGTTGACACTGTAAGCTTAAACTTTGACAAAGTTTAAAAAGTAATATTTGATATGGAAGGGACATCCTCAATTGACATGACATTTTGATGTTTTAAGGCTCATCGTTTTAATAATTTGAAACGGTTGTTACATTTAATGACACAGTACCCTTGTTTATATCGAACCATAAACAATTTAGGATATAGGAAATACGTAAGTATCCGATTCAGAGGATAGATCTTGGAAAGGGTAAATGAAAGTGCAATATCTGATTTTATTGAATATTCATAAACAGAAAGACCTCGAAAACACCTTTCAAAAATTTACACGCATCTTTAAAAGAAATATCGTCTAGTGGGATATCATAAATTAAGAAATGTAAACGAAACTTGTTTTGTATTTGTAAAGTGGTAAAGCTATGCTTTTGTATGATATTTAGCGTTGAAAAAAAGATAACCATACTTCCTCATTGATATCACGCGACGCATATTTATTATGCACGACCATACTTACTAATAATGTTTTCAAATAATTCTTTATATAAAAATCATTAATTTTAAAAAACAATTATATGTTAAGAAAAATATGCATAACAATATAAACTTGTCTATCATAAAATTTTCTTTCTACCCGAAAGACGAAGTAAAGTTTTTCTTATTACATTTAGTAAAGAAATATCTTTTTTATAAGAATGATAAAGTACGTGTTTCACTTCTAAAAACTAAATTTATATAAAATAAAAGCTCTGATATGGATGTTTAGACTTGAAGTGCGATACTTTGCCTGATTCTTTGCATTTATAAGACATTTATGTACAAACTTTGCTCTTTAGTTACTAAATCATGTACCCATTTAAATTATATGTATGCATCATAGTGCCGCAACAGAGTGCGTATATTCACAACAGCAGGTGTCAAGTGCCGTGTTGCAGCTTTAAAAATTTCCTCCGCACTTCACATTTGTTGGCCCTTCTGGATCATTGATCGCATCACTTGAAGTGGTGAAAATTTAGAACCGCACAAGCAGGTGCTGGGGGACATAAGGGATGTTGCACCTTTTCATTATCCCTCAAGTACAGACTAATTCAAACTGAGTAAGTGATGTACATTTTTTTATTATTTTCTTTTTTTAGGTATTTGATTATAGTAAAGAAATTTACTTTTCGGTTCAATTTTGCAAATCATAGTGCAACACTTCTTAATTGAAATGATGATGATGATGATGATAGAAATAATAATAATAGACATCATACTATTTATGCGTGTTAAAAAAACTTTAACTCTGTAAAGAATACTATGAGTTTATGGAGTAAAATAAAGTGTTATCCTAAACAGTATTTTTTAAACGCGGCAATCTACAAATAAATAAAGGCCAGAATTTGTAAAACAATCAATGTGGGAATATACAGACAACATGCTTGTTGGATACACTTGTGTGTCAATAGTGGGCCATGTAAGGACCAACTATAGAGAATTGTTGGTTACAATACGACAGCTCATATTCAATAAAAAATCTTGACTTTAGTTTGAGGTGAAATGATTTTAATTTATTGCAACTAGAGTTACACAAAACACAGGTCAGCAGTTTTTGATACTTGTTCCCTCTTTAATTTTATTAAATAAGAAATTGTTTCATAGCCTAAGGGCGTTAAGGATCAAAATGATTGATTTTCTAATTATAATGTCATAATGTTATTTTTTTATGAAAAACGATTAATTAACAACACTATTCTTTGGCAAACAGCACATGGATAAAATCTGGTAAATCGATATGACCTTGACTTTAACATGACATAACCTACGATGTCAGATGATTGAATTTTGAAAAAAAAATACCATAACTTTGTTAATATTTAATAAGTGATTTGACAAAAAAACAAAGTATGACAAAACCGTTATATGCACTAATTCAAATATAGTCTTACACTTTATATAGCCTAACGGGTGAGGAAGTTTACACGAGGGATGGAATTCTTATGATAACTTGTCAAGGAGTTCTCGTGATAACTGTCACGGAGTTCGTCGGAAGATTATAGTATATACTGCAAAAACACTCTTCAAAAATGGTAACTTTCATCTTTAAAAAGTGAGTTTTAGGTGCTAAATTAAATTTTTATGATTAAGCTGGCCTTACATATTGTATTATGTAACTATCAAAAACTAATTCATAGTCCATTTTTCATCGCCTATTGCTTAACAATTCGGTAGTTGTTAGTAAAATTTCCAAATTATTTGCCAATTGGCAAGAATTGACCTGTTTATTTCAAGTCTTCATCATTGACATACATAATTACCTAATTATATTGCAAAATTGCAAACATAAAGCCCCGGCTAACAAATTTATACCCGAGTTTTCAAAAATGAAATTGAATTGTGTGTGAAATGATTTAACAGAAAAGAGAGAAAAAATGAAAATTAAGCAATACGAAATAATAAAGTGGAACGAAAACAATATATATGACTAAAACACAGTATCTGGCAGCAGGTATTTACGTATGTAAGCTGCCAATGACACTTTTGTTTGGCTCTTAAATAAGTACACTTAAAAAATCGTAAATTTATATGAAGTGCATCTAACGTATTTTATACTTAAAAAAAGATAAATACAAACAAATAAAAAACTCATGCAGCGTTTGCTTTGATGGAAACAAATACAATTCAAATGCGTTTATCCTAGCCTTTATAACAATGCTTTAATTTACGATATTGATTTAACTATTGAAGGAAAGGCAAACATATTTCAAATCATTTATTTGTATTATGAATTAAGCATGTCAAAACAGAAACAAAAAAGTATCTTTTCTGTCTTGGAGTGCATGCTTTATGCCGATGCTTTGGTCTACTTCATGTTTTTAAATGATAATATCAAGACAACGTATGAATATGACACAGTTGTATGACTGTAATGTGATAAACTGCATTCAATAATGTGTTAGTTAAATCATTTTAGAATATTTCGCTGGCCTAAATATCGGGGCCTAAATAAACATTAAAATTTCACCAAACAATTTCTACCTTTCATCATTTTAAAGTTGATTGGTCTAGTACATCTATAATCATTTTGCACAGGAATGAGATCTTGAAGAATGCATACAAACAGCTTTGAAAGCAATTATCTAAGCAATCAATACACTTTAAATATGACCAATTAATTTGAAAATGATTTAAATTTGGGTACTTCATAATAAATATTCAAGAACTATTTTCTAGACTATAACTGGTTTGGGTCTTATTTAGTACTGGGCGGACACCTATTAAATTAATCCAATTTATACCAACTTTCTGAATATTATATGTTATACAAGTATGATCGGTAGGTATACGCTAAACCGTTATAAAAGCTGATTTCTTTATTGAATGTAAAGAATGTATTTCTCCATATCTTTGTACAATATTCAATCATATTTTCGGCAACTATGTATACCCAAACTCCTAGTCAAAGGGAATTGTCATGCAAGTCTATAAAAATATGACAAAGATGTCCCCTCGAAATTTAAAGGTATAACATTGGTAAATACAATTGACTAAATCTTCTCCTCATTGTTAAGGAACCGTATTAATAATTGGTGTGAAATAAATTATGTCTGAAGTGATTCTCAGTATGGATTCAGAGATGGTCGTTCCACAATTGTTGCAATTTTTTTATTACATACAATTATCAAGATGATCTTATAAAAAGTCTAAATTTTGGTGTGCTTTTGTTGACTATCAAAGAGCTTTTGACTCCGTTAACAGGGATACATTATGGATAAAACTTATTCAAGCCGACAATAGTTGTAAAATGACCAACATGATGAGATGTATTTATTATTATGATGTACAATCATGTGTAAAGATATCTTGTACTATGCAGATATCTGAATGTTTCGGGTCAGAAGCAAGGAGAGCCATTATCTCCCTTACTTTTCGTTCTTGTCGTAAACGATATTATTGATAGTATATACTTTAATCATGTTAATACATTAACTGACAAAAGTTTAGAATTGTTATCTATGAATATTATATTATTTGCTGACGACATTGTATTCTTTTCTACGAATCCTGTTAGTGTACAGTCACAAATAGATAATATCTTCATTATTCAATAAAATAAATTCAATAACACCAAAATATGTGTTGTTGAAAATAAGCAGATCTAATAATGTAAACATAGATTTTTATATTAACGTTGAGAAAATTGAGTAAATAACTTTACTTACTTAGGCATTAATTTAACTTATACAGGTAATATGACACATGCAGTCAAGGGGCTACACGATCAAGCATTAAGAGCATACCACAGCCTGATGTGCTTATTTGACAAAGTGAAATTTGATGTTAAAACTAAATTATTATTATTTGATACAATGATGGTGACAATACTTTTATAAGGTTCAGAGGTTTGGGGGTATATAACTATAAAGAAGCGGAAAAATCCCATATCAGATTTTGTAAGCACGTTTTAGGTGTAAAACAAAACAACCCAAACTATGCGGCACTGGGATAACTGGATAGATTACCGTTATCTGTTGCCTGTAAAAAATAATCTTTAGATTTTTGGCTAAAAATTATCAAAACTATTTCTTCCTCCATGTATGTTATTGACCACAATATTTATAACTGCTGGGCTTCTCGTATACATTCTATTATTGATCATCTTTGATTTACTTATTATTAAATTTGATGACAGTTGTAAATATTGTCCAATGTTTAAGAATCGTTTACGCGATCAATATTTACAAGATAGGTCAGCGTCAATTCGACCTATGCCTAAACTTGAATATTATTGTAATTTAAAAAAGAGTTTAAATTTGAAAACTATCTTAATGTAATTGAAAATGATATTCTTAGAAACTGTTTAGTTCGTTTATGATTAATTGTATATATTATATAATACGTCTGTCTTTGCCATATATGTTTATTGTAAATATGGCCAAATACATTTTACATGTCGATAGCAAATACATTTTGAAACCTTGAAACCTTTGTTATATATCGTCTTTTACTGTATACTGATTAAAAAATATACATACAAATGCATTGACTTCTTTGTAAAGGAAAAGACCCCACTCCTCTATATTTACAGCAAGTTTTTTTTTGTATTCGTTTGTCAAGTACAATATATTTACAGTATTAAATTTCATCGCATCTTTTGAACCGAAATAGTGTTAACGCATGCTTGATTTGATCTACTTTTCGACTTTAGCATCCGACATAAGTCATAAATAGTTATGGATATAATTCTTCTTTCACGTAAACGCTTGCTTCAGTACATTGACACGAAGTCGAAAACGTGTGTTTCAACAGAAGTCGAAGTAGAATGGTAGAAGTCGGCACCGAATAACCTCTACAAAGAGACCTTATAAAAACATTATATCATTCCATGAAAAATATGATGTCTGCTTAGCAATGGTGACAATAGAAATACTACATCAGTTAATTGTTACAGAAACATGAATGATAGACGTATTACAATATATAACAACTTACGGTAAAGTGTGTTCTTTAATCTATCCACTGCGTTTGAATTAAGTGTTCTAGAAATTGAGCACAAAGTTCATCTTTAAAATGTTTTCATTTCAAATGTTTATATGAAATCACAGCAGCAATTTTGATTACAAAAAACTTATAACAATCTTGCCCGCAATATATTGCCTCTTTTGCTTAAATCTAAATAGTTTAAATCACCAGTTTACACGCTAATTTATTTACGCTTCGATTGAAGAAGACTCTTGATTGTTAGCCAATGAAAATTTAACAGGTCATACGTTAAGGCAATACAATACAAACTAGTCTATATATTGGTGTATAAATAATGAATAAAAACAACCTTTTTTAACCAATATCATGTTTCTTATTGGCTTGTTAAAGCATTCAAAGCATGTATGCATAAGGATGATTATAAAGTCCATCTGTTTTGTTAATACAGTCAAACCAGTGTTAAAGATAACCTCCGCATGAAGACCACACGCAACTAAAACAAAAAACCTTTTCTTAGAAAATTTCATTAATGAAAACTCCGAATAAAGACCACTCGTGGATAAAACTGAAATTACGGTTTTTCGAAATGGTGGTCCTCTTCGTCGATATGAGCACTGGTCGTATCATGGGACACACATCAATATTACCTCTCAGTATAAGTACATGGGTATCTTACTTACATCAAGTTTGTCAAGGTCATCCGCTCATTCTTAGTTAGTATCCCAGGCGCAAAGAGTTCTCTTTGCCACAATGGCTTATCAAGGACCTTTTAGTTATTTTCTGTTCTTGATTCATTTAAGATTTTTGATTCCAGGGTCAAACCGATACTTTGTTATTCATCTCAATTTTGGGGCTATGCATATATAGATACAATAGAATCTATTCATAATAAATTTTGCAAAAGTATTTTATATGTACGTAGAACTACTAATACATGTATGGTTCTTGGTGAATGTGGTAGATTGCCTTAATGTACTATATATTATATAAATTGTATTCGGTATTGGTGTAATTTGTTAACCATGCCATCACATAGACATCCAAAGCAATGTTGTAATATGTTAAAATTTCTAAATGATGCCGGTAGAAACTGCTGGGCAACCAATGTTAGAACACTTTTGTACAAATATGGATTCAGTTTTATATGGATAAATCAAGATGTTGGCGATGTCAATGATTTTATTACATGTACCATAAACATAAGTAAAGAGTTGTTAACTATTGAACACTAGACTGGCAAGTAGCTCTTGAATCCTCTAATAGATGTGATCATTATAATAACTTTAAAAGCCTACTTACTGTTGAAAAATATTTGACTATGGATATTTAGTTAAAATATATAATTGCTATGTCAAAGTTTCGCCTTTCAAATCACAGGCTGAACATTGAATTAGGTAGATATAATAATGTTATAAAAGAAAATCGTATATGTACTAATAATGTTAATATAATTGATTGTGAATACCTTGCCTTTTTAAAATGTGTTAAATATGATACTGTTAGACAAATGTATTTATTTATCTGGTATATACATGGAACAGAACTTCAAGATTTCTATGCTCTTTTGTCTTCTCAAAACCCTGACATTGTTAAAAATATATTTATTTACATCTATCAACTTATGAATATATAATTAATGATACTTATGTTTCACAATATACAACTACTTGACATTTTATTATATGTTATACCATATGATGTATTTGGGCCGGAGGCCTTTATGTACAAATAAATGATATGAGTTGAGTTGAGTTAAAGGCCATGTTTGGTAATTCCTTTATACACAGGTTTGACTGTTAAAAATCTGCCTGTTAGAAACTTGATATAACGTCTTAAGCCTTCTGTCCGTCATATGTATTCGTTGAACATATTCTAAAATTATAACTGTTACAACTATACATTAATTGTTTAAATGTATCAATCATGTAAATGTTTAGTTTTCTTTTTATTTACTCAGTAAAAGTTTCATCTTGAAAAAATTGGAGGCTGAAAAAAGAACATTGTTTTGCAGTAAATGATCGTTTTGATTAATAGTTTGGTTATAATTAAGACAATAAATCTGCAATTACAGTGAACCAAAGAAATATTTACATGAAACCCTCTATGAAACGCATATTTATTTATTTAGTTGCATCGTTTTCTGCCAAATTATGTGATCTAATGAAAAGAAATGATATTGTTTATTTTTGGGGTCCAACTTTCATGCATTATTTCCTACCGCATAAATTAATGCTTATTTGATATTGAACTTCTAGCGAAAACATTAAATTGTAGAAAATAATATATCTAAATATAAAAAATATATAACCGTCATTTAAGTTTATGACTTGCTCTGACTGCTATAATAATTCACATAAGTAAATGCTTTAAATGATACATGCAAGGCCAATAATGTATGTACTTTAAAGAAGTATTATTTGAAACTATTAAAAACAAAAAATCAAACAAACAATAAAAAAATGAAGCTGTATTTATCAACAAAATACACTGACTTCAAAAATAATGTCTCGTTTCGACGAATAATGCTTCCCGTCATGAAGTTGGCTCAAAATAATCGTCACCAAGTAATATCAACTGGTATCATCTTCATCATTGTCATCAGTAAACTCATTATCAAAGTCAAAAAGCATCAACTTCATCTTCATCAAAATCATTATTAGTAAAATCATCATCATGTTTATCATCATCTAAACTATCATCGTCTCACGAAAATCATGCTTTTCGCCAGTTCCATCATAAAATTTGAAGTAAACATCAAAATATCATGATCAATATGATCATCATCATCACAATCTTTAAAATCATCATCACGTCTTTCATCATTTAAATCATATCATTACCATAATTGAAATCATCATTACTAACATAATCATTGGCATGAAAAAAATATCAAATACATCATCATTAAAATCAAAATAATCAAGTATCTCATCGTTATATATATCATTTGTGCCGTCAATAAATCGTTTATTATCATCACGTTCATCATTAAAAATTTTCATAGTCATCAATATCTTATTTTTATCACCTTATTGTTATAACTGCCATTGTTTTATTACTTTAAGTATGGTGTCATTTTTATTGCATTTTAAATTTTAGAGATAATGCTGCTGATGAATTACTGGCGATAATGATGATGATAATGTACAGATGATGATGATATTTATGTATTGATATTGATTGCTTGTGATGATCATAATGATATGATCATGTTGCATTCATGCTTAAGATATGGTTGATGATGATAAAGTACTTATCATGATGATGATGATGTCCATATAAAAAAGGAAAAAAAGTAAAGTTTATTTTTTGTAACATAGGCCCCGTCCCAAAATACAACATAATACAACAATCATGACAAAGCAATGAATAATACAATGAGGTGATCATAATTATACATAGTATATTGTAATATGAGCATTGGTAGACATCTTATAAAAAAATTAAAGATATTTAAAGATATTAAGAGAATTTCGTATATCATCGGATGTATTACACTATATTATTACCATTATATTTTATTTACTGAATAAGCGTCTATGAATGATCGAGAAAAGATCCATATTAAATTTCCTTGAAATATATTCCCTTTAAATTAGGACTTTTCCTTGAAAATAGTTAAATTTACAGCAGCGTCTTTATTTCTTTAGAGGTTTTCTTCAAATTTCAATTAATTAATTTACTTAATACGTGTTAAGGTTAGACAGGCATCTGTTTTGTTCAGAAATATTGCCACAATAAAATTATAATGTCAGTTTTTTTCTCCATTGACTATTCTTTCATAAAAAAAGACGTTTAGACTATACTGTAGGTACTAGTAAGTGTTAATCAGTACAAGAATTTACTTAACTATTTCGATCAAGAATAGCACAGCACTCAACCTTTCGTGACTTAGGTTATTTTATTAAACAACCGGTTTACATGACTTTTTATATTTAATTACGAAAATAAATGTGTGACAATTTATTTGAAATACAACAATCCTATTGAACAAACAATTATTTCAAGCACGTAATATCTTTAACAAATGACCCTTGCATTGCGATTATGAATTAGTTTAATGTTGACTGATCAATTGACATTGGGCGCGTCGATTTTGAATTTCACTTTTAAATGCATGTGTATGAATATTAATCTAAACAAAGTTCATGTAAATAAGCTGTAATAATGTAGCTAACAAATATGTGTTTAAGTGTCAGTGGGTCAGTAAATTAAAAGGCATGGCAGTCACTAGCCCCCCCCCCTCCCCTAGCCTGAAGGCAGGTCGATAGTTACTTTAATCTCCTCTATTTTTTGTAAAAGCTGAACAAAACAATACAGCAAGTATGTACAATGTAACAATGTCTTATAATAAAACAAACACCGAAAATTGGTACATGTCAACAAGTTTCAAGGTTGATAAACACCCATATCGTATAACGAGTTGTTTACGTCTCCAAATGTTGAGTTTGTACCTGAAAGATGATATTAAATGTAATTTATAAAAATACGTTTGCATACCTTTGTCTCAAAATGGTGAGATTGTACCTGACCGATTATAATGTAGGTAGGTTAAAAAAACTATGTATGTATTCTTTTGCTTTGACACAACTAACATTTTCTTCATAAAATGTATTTGACAGTAGTGATGATAAACAGTTTGTTTGTGTGATTTTGAATATAACGCATGTTTTACTGTGGAATTACAAGTCCTGAAAGAAAAAACGAGTACATTAAATATACACACACAAGCACGAACGCACGCACACACGCACACACACCAATACACAAACGCATACACACATACACACACACACTTTAAAGGCACTTGATCCATTACCAGATCTAACCAAAATTATAAACAATACACGCTTGTGACATCGCTTTACTTCACTAGTATAAAAGGACATATGAAAAACCTAACATTACTTTTACCATTGAAGGTTTCGAAAGTATAATATAGCAATCTACTTATTCTGCAGTTCAGCAGTAAAATGACTTTTGCCGACCACAACAAAAAGCGCTTCAAAGTAATGTTTTTGGTTCTATATTGCTTTTCTTTTCCGATTGAAAAGAATGCAACAAAATAAACTTATTTATATTATATTGAAGTAAATCATAAATTGAAAAATAATAAACAAAATCCTATGTTTAATTTGCAACCGCCTGTACATATTATTTGTTATACCTTTTATCATAAGCGTTTAGCACATACAATTAAAATCATACTTGGTTTAA